AGGCTGATGATTATTTGAAGTCAGTATAATAATATTTAATTAACAATTTTGTTTCTAAGTTTACATTTTGGTAGTAACTATTTCTTGGGGATTGTTTTTTAACTCTGTATGAAAATTATTTATTTTAAAGGATCAAAAATAGGTATTCACTAAACAAAGCATTTCATAATTTATATATGACTTTGAATTTTTAACAATTCAATCTGATTTTAGAAAAACAATGATTATGAGTTCAGCTGTTCAGAATAAAAGAACATATTCCAACAACCTTATTTGAAGTCTTTTGCCTTCTTCCTTTTCTTTGTTTAGGATTAGAAGAAACTTTTGGAGCACTAATATAAATGTCTTGCAATAATAGTAAGGGAAGACATTCAGGAAGTCAAGTTTGTAGTGCATCTAATTCCTGACTTGGAATTTTAGAGCTTGCACTTAAGATGGACAAACAATACGCAACCATTAAGAAAACAAACATTTCTCTTGGTCTGATTTTGAAGTTAATAGTGAATTATAAACATACATATTTTTTCTTGGATCTAGTCTTTTCTACCAAGAACTATAATAAGTTGTTAAACTATTTCAAGAAATCTCCTCATTTAATATGAAAAACAAAAATCTGTAAAACTGCAAGTTAATATCTGCATACTAACCAGGTATATCAGTCATTTCCCCATTTACTGACATGGGATCTATTCCTACCCCAATTTTTCCATTAATGGCAGTTACAAAGCTCAAAGAATCTATGTAGTTTGAGAATTTCTACAATTCTCAGGTCAACAGAAGTTCATAAACAAATCTATTTGAATTTTAGTATGTGTAATTGGTATTATATTTGTCATTAAATTAGCCTAAGTCAAACAATCTCATCAATTTTTAAAATTGCACTTTTAAAATTAATATTTTAGAAAAGAAGAAAGAAAAATGTCTTTCATTTTAACAATACATTGAATATTTTACTCCCTATCATTACAAAATAAATGAATTGCCAGCTGCTGAGTTATGGTGTTCTAATTTGCTAGAATTGCTATCATATGACATTATATTTTTGTAAAATGTGTTTATTTCATTTTTATTCAATTATTTTATTTATGTAGCACAATATTATGTAAGATACAAATTAATATGTTGTTTGCAAATGTGGTCAAAATAATGGATTAAGATTTTTAATGTAAAATAAGTTTAATGTTATATCTTAGATATTTTCTGCTTTTGATCAACTAAAAGGACAAAAATACCAACTTTACCAAACCAAAATAAATAAATAAATAAATAAATAAATAAATAAATAAATAAATCCCATTACAGTGAAGTTAATAACTCCCAATTATATTAAGATCTTTGAATGGGACACCGTTTTCAGAGAAATCTTATTACCATTAACACTAGACTATTCTAAAAGTAAGAAAAAATTACCCTTATGTGGCATAAACTTTTGTATAAGCCTTACAGTTACTACTCTATTCAGCTCAACCTGAGCTCCATTGTGTTTTCATAAAACTTTGGTGTCTTTTGAATGATTCACTTGGTGTAACAACTACACATCAGTCATATGACTACTGGCCACTGGCTGGCTGCCCAGAGTGCTTTTCTTATACTTTTGTCACCTGGAAGAGCAGAAGAATATCCCTGAGCACGTGAGGTTGGTTTTATCAATGAAAACTCATGCATTGTTTTGTATCCATTCCCCTACTTTCATTAATGAGTGCTAATTTAAACTCATGTTTATTAATGAATTTGAGATCAATTGTTATGAGATTTCTGCATATAAATCACAATTTAGCATACCTTCCAAGAATAATTTAATGGGAAAATTGAAATTTCAGTTAGTAGCAGTAGCAAGGAATAAATAAATAGAAATTAAACTAAAGGGAAAATTATCAACACAAAAATATAATTTATCTTATAATGTAGCTATTTTTATTATGAGAAGCAAAAGAGGAAACTTACTTTAACTTAGTAATTGGAAAGCTAATTTTAGAGTACCATGATTAATATTTAATAAAACATTCTGCATTGATTGTGTCCTTCAAGAATTTATTTTCAATGAATTTTTAAAAATTTTGCTGTTATTATTTTTTAATTTATGTGTATGAGTGCATTGCCTGCATGTATGTAAGTACACCTATGTTGTGCAATGACCATGGAAGACAGAAGAAGGCGTCAGATACCCTGGTATTGGAGTTTCAATGGTTGGTAGCCACCATGTGGGTTCTGGGATTTGAACCCTGGTCTCCTGCAATAGCAGCCCGTGCTCTTAATTGCTGAGTCATCTCCCGAGTCCCAAATCAATGGATTTTGATGTTGTTAAATCATTTGTAAAAATATTCCGATATTATGTTACCTAAGGAAAAATTAACATACAATTCTTTAGAAACTCGCGTGTGTTATACACATAAACCTAGTGGACTTTAGACCTACCACACCCACTGTTCATCTCAAGTTCACACTTCTTAGGTTCCTTTCCTCATCTATCAATTGCTAGTGATAATCCACTTCTTTCTAATATTTAATGTAAGGCATATGAAATAATTCACGGGATCTCTTTAACAATGTACTCAGCAATAAGTAGATACTAAATAAATTTCAGAGATCACGTCTTTTGTGACTAGAACTGAAGTAATAATGTAAATCTATGTAAAGTTTATTCCCATTGACCAGCATTCACACAATGAGCCTATTTCTAAGAGTGAGCAAGCGTTTT